CGTTTTTAATGGAACCACCCAAGTTTCCCTTCTAAAAGATCAAGTCCAGTGTACGGAGCTGATTCGAACCAGCAGGGCATTTTGAGGACAAAGTGATTTGTTAACATTTATTGTGTAGATTTTTGGCATTCCCCTCAATTACTTGCTCAAATCCAAGACAGTCCGAAGTTAGATTGTTGTCATTTGTTGTCCGTCCCTATGCCCTGTGCATTTTCCATGGCCAACGAGTCACATTCTTTCATCCTTTCGGGGCACAGCTGCCAAAATGCTTCGCACAGGAACCGAGCAAGAGTCAACAACACCCCAGCACAGATGCAAAGCAATGGCTTGTTTTGGTTTTGCTGAGAGAGGACTTGGAACTCTAGCGTTGTATTGTGATATGTTCGCGGTGCTCTCGTGAAATGGGCAACGACCGCTGCATAGTGGGATTTGCTGTGGCACGAAGGCACCCCTTGCAAAATATATGCAGAAGACCTTTTGTTCGCCCGTGAAGATTGGCATCTCAAAACAAGCAACTCCATGATTTCCATTCGATGTGATATGGCTCAACATGGCGCAGGATTTGGATCTAGGAAGCTATTTACCACAATCTAGTCAACAGGCTCTGAACACATCGGCAATCACCACACAATACCACATATCGCCATACTACCTATAATTATACCATATTAAACCAATTGCTAGCAGAGATGCAGGTTCAGACGGCTGATCCTCTGGCTTAGAACCAGCTGTGTTTGTTTCATACTCCCAGTAACCGATTTCCACCAGAAGCCAAACTGACATGAAGGCGTCGAACTTTTTGTTTAGCTGCTTGACCAGCCTTTGGTCACCAACAGTGCGGATCACTTGCAAGAGGCACTTGAGTTTGTCCTGCTTGCTGGTTGATTCAATTGCCACCACTCTGCCACATTGTCCAAGGTACTACTGTAGTAGGAGTCAAAGGGCTCGTGTGGGCTCCATCAAATTGAGTATAGTGCCATTTGAAGGCCTTACTAGATTTTGCCACATGGACAGATTCAGTACAAATGTTTGGTGAGGGGCACTGTGTCTTGCCATTTTCTTTGCTCAGACCATGGCATCTTTGAGCATTGCGGCGGGGGGTGCAGGAGTACGTCCAAGAGCCGATCTCAGTTCTCGAGCCAAACATCGACTTCTTCATTTTCCTAATTGCGATGGCCTCCACCCTACTAGCGCTAGTAGCGATGGCCTCCAACCTAAGAGCGATGGCCTCCAACTTCTTCATTTGGGGAAACTGCACACATCATACGTAATGTAAAGTAGGTCACGGTCACACCACATGTTTGCCAGTGGAAGCATGCTAAGATTCTGCAGTAGTAATCGCTGGCACAGGCAATGGTCGACAGGATCTCTGGTATGAAGGTGTTGATCCTCGACGAGGAGACGATAGGCACCACCAAGGAAGCAATCACAACCGTTGCGGACCAATGTTTCAATTTGCTCCCATATACGTGTGTGGCTCACTTTTTTTAACAACACAGGTTTGCTGACCAACGTGTGATCACTCACACCTGCACAGCACTGGCAGTGAACTCATTTTGCACAAAGTTACCCAAATGATGGTCCACAAATTGCATTTAAACTGTTTCAAATATCCTGATGAATTGGGCACACGCCTTTTAGATTGATGCATATTATTGAACTAACAACCTGCTACTTTTACATTCTACAATTGACTTGAGCATCGAGGGGAGAACATTTTGCCAACACAACCCTATCCAATTTGTAATGTCTAAATGATTGCTAAGTCTAGCTGTGCCCACTCCTGCTATTAAAGCTATTGAAAGTGTATAACTGTATAACTATACTTTGAGCCGCCTGATTACACAACAAAACTATTTTTGAATCTTTCATAGCCTATGTGACATATTACCGTCAGAATATCTATGATGAACGCTCACTCCCAGCGCTAGGCCAACAGCCTCCTTCCCGGCAGCATCAGTGGCAAGCCCCACTAAATGACTTTGTGGAGCTACTTTACTTTAACACACACTTTGCCTTTTGCTTTTAATTAATGTGCTCCCTTGTGATTCAGTGGTTTATTAATGAATAGTCTTGAAATTTGCTTGACCCTCACCGATAATGATTCCCAGCGGAAACTTAAACCCAATAACACTATTCAAACCTCAGCGCTCCTTGCAAGACAAACAAAAGGTCTGGCAATTAGCAGCAGCAGCCAGATGCAATGAATGAATGCGCTTTGCCTGCATTTTTCATCTCCCGCTCTTGGTCCCACGAGCAGGTTCCACCCTGATATGAAACTCATGACTGACTATTGCAGCCCAGAACCCCGGCTCAAACTTCCAAAAGACAGTCTGCTGACCGCTTGTGACAGTAAGGTGACACAATTACCTTGCGCACATGTGTACCAACAGAATGACATAGTAATAGTGACACAAAAAGTCTGTTAATTATCTTTTGTTTGCTCACTTGACAAGATCCCTGCTTAGTAACTACATTGGCAAAAAACATTCTTAGGTCTGTCGTCGCTGCCTTTTGCCATCCCCGGTACTAGACGAAGCTTCTGCTTGGCCCTCAGACTCATACCAGTCCCAAAGCCATGCCACAACTGCTGCTTTGGCTGCATCGCTGCTACATGTAGCCGTGCCACGCCCTCCTGCATGTTCGCTGTGCTGGTAGCTCTTGGACTTGGTACGTTGTCCCTGGTACTTCACATCAGTGGGTAGGACGGCTCTCCACTGAGGACTTGCGTTTGGAGGTGTTATATGCTCCACATGACAACCTGGCGGTAAGTCCACATCCTCTTCTGCCATTGATCGTACATGCTCAGGCCATTGGGTTGACTCTTCCGGTTCCTTCTTTTTCTCTTTTGGCTTGTCCTCCCTTTTGTCCGTCTTCTCTGCATCCTTCTTGCGCTTTCTATCTGCTGCTTCCTGATCTTCTTCAGGCTTTCGGTGGAGAAGCTCACTCAGCAGAGCAGCTTCGCACACCTTCCCAAGCATTCCGTCCTCCACCTCTTGCGTCTTGTCTGGTTTGGAAGCTGCCCTCTTCATTCCAGCCAGAATCTCTGCGATCTTGTCCTGGCTGTACTCCAGCGTTTTCAGCAGTAGCTCCACCTTGGCAGCTTTGCTCATTGCACCTGGCTTGTAGATCTTGAGTTCCTTCATGAGCTGGTCCAAAGCAAAGCTGCTCAAGCCTCGCAACAATTTATATAGTCTAGAAACCCCGCACACCAAGAGTCAGTCAGTCAAACTACCATTTTAAAATTCTCAAAAGCCAACACTCACTCACATTGATTTCAGGACGCTAAGACAACTCAAACAAAACAAAACACTCACCTTCCCACTTGATACCTCAATCTCCAAGAAGCTCGAAGCACAATGCTCCAACGCATAGTTCATACATGGCAAACTGGAGCAAAGCACCACTGCCACTTGGAGAGTCTCACTAGCATTTTGCACAACCGTGTAGGTGGTGAAGTGCACATTCGCAGATGTTGAGTCATAGAAAGTCATCTCCTGCTCAAATTCAAGTCTTGTGTTGAGCAACCTGTTTGTGATTCAAAAGACAAAAAAATGCAACTGGTGACGTCAAATAAGACATACTTGCTGCGTTTGCAATTATTTGTTCTCAGCTAACAGCAAACAGGTGCAAACATCACGACTCATTTCTATTGTGTGCGTGTGCGTCAGCTCAGCACGAGATAACCTCCAATGTTGAACGATGCAAACAGCACTCTGGCAATTAATGAGCTCCACAGACCGCAGCGGTCAGTAGCCATTTCATTAGCTGCTGCGAGCATACTAGCATCTATTATAACCTGAACAAAGTGTACCAATTGACCCTGCCTCCAGGTTCAATGCAAAAGAACTTGCAGCAAACTGCTGACCTGAATATAGAACAGAATGGTTTGTGGTTCAACAGTTCAAAAACTCAGTTGACTTGGCGCAGCCGAACTGGCATGCCACCTAAACAGAACTTATTCTTCTTCTTGGCAGGAAAGGCTTCTGCAAACCCAACCAGGTGAAGAAGAAAGCCACGCTAGTGGCAATCAGTCCTCGAGGTCACCAGGCCGGACCACTGCTCCAGTGAACATCTTGCTCGCACAAACATGCTCCTCCACATGGATAGGCAAAATACGGATCATCGAGTCGTGAGAATCGATGACAATGCCGTACCTGCCATCAAGCTCGACCACCTGAGTCTGCGTGCAATTGGATTCTTTCAAAGAATCTCAAGGCCAACAAGTTGTATTAGCAAATGATGTTGGCTCCTGAATATATAGTAAAATGCTAAATTGTCCAAAACTAATTCTGGACACCATGTTTGTTGGTCCTCTATTATGCGTTTTTGGTGCTCCTATTTTTTTGTAACTGAGAAACAATGAGGGCTTCAATGCTTCGGAGACTTGTGAATGTTAAAGTCAATGACTGGCCTGCAGAGAATATTGATAAGTATAGGTTTCTCTAGTTCTTCTTTGAAACTGACAGCTTCCCAAAGCCATCAATTCCTTAATCAATCCTTTATGTAAAGCTTCCTCCTAAACAAATGTTCAAGGTTCTGGACCAGGAAGGCCCCTGATCCTCAATGATACATTTGTCGTAAGGGTCCTCTATTGTGCAAAGTTTTTTTCCTGACAAAATCCTGAAACAAGAGTAATTCTTAATACTACTGAGCCAATGGCTGGCTTGCTGAGAGTATTGATGCGTATAGGTTTCTCTTGTTCTTCTTCAATCCCGCAGAGAACCTGAGAACCTTCTTTGTCCTCTTCTTAGTAGTATGAAAGGCTTGCTGAGAATATCTATTTACAAAGAACCTGAGAAAGCAACATGATTACAATCAATTACAAAAGGAATCCTCAGAGGAACCCCGATTTGTTTTGGTGGTGGTTTACTATAGAGGACCTCCCAGTTGTTAGGGGGAGGGGTGGACCCCCCCTTTACCAATCAGGAACCAACATTATTGACGGTGCAAAGCCTGTCATTCGTCAGCAAAACAAAGAAGGACACCCGCAGACTGACTCAGCTGTCAGTCAGCCGAGCTACAGCTCCTTCCGGAATGACAGAAGCAATCCACAAGTAGGAACTGATAGTTAAATTCTTCTTCTTGAAGTAGACACGAGCATCCAACTCGCCAAGACCCTTGCCCACAAACTGGAAAGCGCTGGTTCTGTTGGATTGGCGGAAGATATCAGTAGCGTTTGGAATTCCGCCACTGGCCAGAGGAACCCGTGAGGAATCAAATACATCTCGCTTCATGAAGCCATTTGAAAACTCCTTGGGCATGCTGGCAAGCAAAGAACTGGGCGGCTCAATGAGCGCAAGCTTGGTCTCACGCCCATCAGGTGATTTGCCACCCAATATTTGGTTGGTTGACTTGATTGCAACTGCTGCCAATTGGCAAGGTGATGCCCGTGTGTGCCGGCTGTGACGTTGTTCAGCATCTCTCATCTTGTTGAAAGTTTGCTCAAGCGTCACAGTGTTGGACCTCTTGGGGAACCAAGCCCGTGTGAGCTCCAACAACTCAGGCGTCAGCTTCCATGATGACTCTTCTGCGCTTGTCATGATCTCGCGATAGCATTGCCACTTCAGATGAGTGCAGTTGCTTAGCCATGCTGCATTGCTGGCCTCTGCTTCCAAAACCATTTCCCATTCTGTCTTCATGGCCTGCAACATGTCCTGCGCGAGCTTCTCTTCTTCAGGGCCGCGGATGTCCAAGAAGGCTTGGCAAACCCAGGGAGCATGCATCTGGTAGTTCAAGAAGCGGTGTGTGTGCTTGGTGAGTCTCAGGCAAAAGCTCACATGCTCTTGGAGTACTGACCACTCATCCGAGTCTTCCTGACTCACAAGGTCTGCAAACAAGGCCATTTCCTTCAACGTCGAACTGCCGAAAGCTTGCTCCATGGACTTCTGAATGAGGTTGGGAAAACTCAGCAGGCATTGTTTTGCCTGCTGCACACCGCCATCACTGGTGCAACATCCACGTACCTGTCCAACGCTTTCAACTCCAATCAAAGAGATACACTGCACAAATCATAATGGTACAATGGGGTGCAGTATTTTTGCCTGCCCTTAAGAGAGCCTAGCCGGCATTGACTTGAGTCATGCCATGTGCTATTATAGTATGGAGGATATTAGTAGTATGGCTCGCACAAATGGAATGCTTGCTTGCCAATCTCCTAACAAGCTTTTGTAGGTACTACTTACTGCTACTGTTCCTGCCGCAGTTGCCTCTTCTGCGGTGAATGTCCGAAAGGGCTGCATCGACTTGTAGAGGCCAATTGCCAAGGCTCGCTTGCCAGGCTGCATCAAAACCTCAGGTGGTGCCAAAGTAGTCAGGGACCAAGAGATTCTGCTAAGAAATAGATCACACCAGAAGACAGGTTTTACCCATTACTTACTTTCACTACCCAGTTTGCAATACCTCTCTATACTATATGTGCCTATATTGGGTGAGAGGCTCAGCAGTTTCTACAGTGCACTGAATGCTAGCACTAATACTTTTTCTAATGTTGACAGAAGGAAACGATTACGTAGCTTTAATAGAAAGTCTTGATTATTGGTTAAAATTCACCTGTAAGCCTAGACTAGTCTTATGAATGAATCAATCAGATACGAATCTGGCACGCGAGATGAGACCAACAAGAAGTACAACACATATCATAAGTGTAATGATTTATTGGTCCAACCTTTGCTGTTTGGTGCTGTTAAGTTAGACTGCTGTCTTTTCCACAGTTGTTGCTTGGATGAACTTGTTGCTGATATTTCACAGATGCTAAGACATTTGTGAATATTCAAGCATATTATTTAGATTCCATACTTTTAGATAGTTTGCTGGTCTAATTCCTTCATTTCCTTTCTTTCCTTGAAGTTTGGAGTCTCTTTAATAATCTTTCGACTGCAACCAGAAGTCAGCCGCTCAGAGAAACTGTGAAAACAAAGCAAGTGTCGAGCGTATGCAAATTACATTTGTTGACCCCCCCTAACTAACTACTCTAATCGAGAAATCGTCTGCAACGTTGAATGTGCCAGGTGTCAGGTTACATGTTTAGTGTATTTTAGCACGCACACACACTCTGACATTGGTTTGCTGTTAACTCAGTTCCCAAGTTGAGAAGGAAGGTGATGGAACAGCAAGGCGAATGAGTC